CTCTCTGTCTCCCAGAGCTTATCTCTCTGTCTCCCCAAGCTTATGTCTGTCTCCCAGAGCTTATCTCTCTGTCTTCCCAAGCTTACGTCTCTGTCTCCCCCAAGCTTACGTCTCTGTCTCCCCCAAGCTTACGTCTCTGTCTCCCCCAAGCTTACGTCTCTGTCTCCCCCAAGCTTACGTCTCTGTCTCCCCCAAGCTTACGTCTCTGTCTCCCCCAAGCTTACGTCTCTGTCTCCCCCAAGCTTACGTCTCTGTCTCCCCAAGCTTGAGATACGAAATAGGACTGAGAGTTGGCAATAAACAATTGTGAAAAACCATAACAATAATTACACTCAGAAATCACAATAGCAATTCTTTGACCATGTCGTAGCTCAGTCGATTAAGGCAACGTCTGGGATCCTCTCGGACGCAGGTTCGAACCCTTGTCACGGCCCTTGTGGATCTGTTCGTAACAATAATACTCTGGCCGGGCACTAGACTTCTCTCACCCGTCCATTATACTCCCTGGGGCCTGGTCGACGCCTCCTGGTCCCAGGAGGCCTGGTCGACGACCGGGCCGTGGGGACGCTGAGCCCCGGAAGCACCTCAAGGTAACCTCAAGGTAAGGTAAAGGGGCCTACCTGTCCGTCTCCCTGCTTCTGTCTCTCGCAAGGGACAGGTAGTGGGCCAGACCTCCTGTCCTGTTGGTGGTGTTATAGATTCAGCTACTCGGAACAAGTTCCAAGTAGCACGGGCTATGGTGAGCCCGTAGTGGACTTACCCGGTACAGGAGCGGGGCAAGTAGCACGGGCTATGGTGAGCCCGTAGTGGACTTACCCGGTACAGGAGCGGGGCAAGTAGCACGGGCTATGGTGAGCCCGTAGTGGACTTACCTGGCACAGGAGCGGGGCAAGTAGCACGGGCTATGGTGAGCCCGTAGTGGACTTACCCGACACAGGAGCGGGTCAAGTAGCACGGGCTATGGTGAGCCCGTAGTGGACTTACCTGGCACAGGAGCGGGGCAAGTAGCACGGGCTATGGTGAGCCCGTAGTGGACTTACCCGGTACAGGAGCGGGGCAAGTAGCACGGGCTATGGTGAGCCCGTAGTGGACTTACCTGGCACAGGAGCGGGGCAAGTAGCACGGGCTATGGTGAGCCCGTAGTGGACTTACCCGGTACAGGAGCGGGGCAAGTAGCACGGGCTATGGTAAGCCCGTAGTGGACTTACCTGACACAGGAGCGGGGCAAGTAGCACGGGCTATGGTGAGCCCGTAGTGGACTTACCTGGCACAGGAGCGGGGGCAAGTAGCATGGGCTATGGTGAGCCCGTAGTGGACTTACCTGGCACAGGAGCGGGGCAAGTAGCACGGGCTATGGTGAGCCCGTAGTGGACTTACCCGGTACAGGAGCGGGGCAAGTAGGACGGGCTATGGTGAGCCCGTAGTGGACTTACCTGGCACAGGAGCGGGGCAAGTAGCACGGGCTATGGTGAGCCCGTGGTGGACTTACCTGGCACAGGAGCGGGGCTGAATGAGCTGCCTCGTGTCATTATAGAGGTCGTTCAGGTACCTTCTCTCGCAGGTATTGTGGCCAGGTGAGGGCGGAGGGTGCAAGGGAGCCCCTGTAGGGAATTGTTGGAGAAGGGTCTAAGGAAATGGGCCACCCGGGGGGGGGGGGGGAGTTAGGGAGGGGCGACTCCCAGGGAACTGTAGGTGAAGTGGGAGGGGAAATGGGTCCCTCCTGGGGAATTATTGAGTGGGGGGGGCCTAGGGAGGGATGGCTGCCCGCGCCTACCAACTTGGGCGGCAATCTTTCCTGAGAAACACTTTCAAATGCTTGGATAAAATTGGATAAGTTTAGATTTAGGAAAGACTTGGGTAAATACTGGTTCAGTAACAGGGTTGTTGATTTGTGGAACCAATTGCCGCGTAACGTGTGGAGGTGGGGTCCCTCGATTGTTTCAAGCGCGGGTTGGACATGTATATGAGTGGGATTGGGTGGTTATAAATAGGAGCTGCCTCGTATGGGCCAATAGGCCTTCTGCAGTTGCCTTTGTTCTTATGTTCTTATATAATGCTTTCTGACACTCTATGAAAATGCAGTCTATCCAGCCTTCTTTTTCCTGTCATATTTTATAGTCACCTGAGTCACAAAGCTCAGCCAAGACTTTGTCTTTCTTAATCCGTGTTGACCTCGAGTCCCATTGTCCATCTTCCTCCAGCTCCTCCACCATTCTTGACCTGATTACTGTCTCCAGCACTGTACATCACACATTTGTTAATGATACCGGACTGTAATTTAGTGCCTCCTTTCTATCCCCTTTTTGTGTATATTGGAACTATGTGTTGTTTCAGACATCCGGGAGATTTCCTGTCTCAAGCATTTTATTAGAAATTTGGCTTAAGCCCGCCACCACCACACCGATGGGTGTGAGAAAACATCCTTTTATAATTCAACACAAATGCAGAAAGTATCTTCAGAGTTAGACATTTCCTCTTAATGTTGCAGAAACATAAAGTTGTGAGAATAAGAGCGCAGGCGGGAGAGATACATAATAATTTACAATTGAAAAATATCAAACTGACTGATTCCAAACCTGCACACAGTAATAACACCACATGAGACCAGGAGGCATGGCAGGATGTGCAGAATACCCCCGTTGAAGAGCAGAGGTGCAACAGGTACTCTGAGAGAGAACTCTATCAACATCAGAGGCCCGAGACTGTTCAACACGCTTCCACTACACATAAGGGACGTAACTGGCCGACCCCTCACAGTGTTCAAGAGAGAACTATCAACATCAGAGGCCCGAGACTCTTCAACACGCTTCCACTACACATAAGGGACATAACTGGCCGACCCCTCACAGTGTTCAAGAGAGAACTATCAACATCAGAGGCCCGAGACTCTTCAACACGCTTCCACTACACATAAGGGACATAACTGGCACCGACAACAAGTAGCCAGGTAGCCTGTCTCTGTTTCTGTGTCTGTCTCTCATTCTGTCTCTGTCTTTTTGCGGTCTGTTTTATATACAAATAATATACTAGTGTACCATTGGCTTGTGGGTGGTGTGCTGGTGGGAGGAGCCTAGTGGTGTGAAATATTCAAACAATATAATAATTACCCATTTGCACTAAGGAAGAAGAGAGGTTTGAGAAAGGCATTGAAGATGTGGCATAATCGTCTGTTTTATGCTACTACGGCCAAAGTATGAATAGCAGAAAATGGATGTCAATTTTCCTGAAATCGATGAATACTTGTGTATTATTATTACTATACGAAAAAAGTACTTGTTTTGACATTTTTTATTTTCAAAATATTTATCTACGTATAGCCTGCGAGCAGTTCCAGAAGTCGTCGTGGGGGTCAGAATGCGATGCTAACACGCTGTTCTCTGTTGAGTTATGGCGACCACTAACAGCCTATGTCCGTCCTGTACCCTAGACCATCACCCCTGCAAAGTTGGGTGAGACTATCCCTAGGTGTCTGACCTCCAACCTTGGACAGACATTTTTATAGATATAGAATAATATAAGCAATGGTTGTTTAGAAGTAGCACCAACAACAGTAGCAATAATTGTACAGTAGCAGTAGCAGCAAGAGCAGTAGCAGTAGCAGCAAGAGCAGTAGCAGTAGCAGCAGAATTAGAAACCTAGAAGTAGCTGTAGTAGAACTGAGAGCAGTAGTAGCCACAATAGTAATAGTAACATAGATGCAGCAGCAGCAGCAGCAGCAGCAGCAGCAGTACTCACACCAGTGTGGAGGTGTGGAGGAGAGTAGTAGCAGCAGTAGTGGAGGTGGTACTGGCCCCCACCACCACTACCTCCTGCCTCTATCCAACATGAGTCTAGTATTCACTCTGGCGGAGCTCATTTGCATGTTATTAACACCGATATTCAACTTTTAAATTAAATGGGTGTTAGCTCCTGGCACCGCCTTGTTGCACTTGACATTGCAGGCGCCTTTGACCACATATGGCACTCTGGTCTGCTTGCGAGCCTGCAACATTCATATGTACTCACCGAAAGGCTGGAAAGGCGGGATCCAAGAGTCAATGTTCGATCCTGCAAGCACAAATAGGTGAGTACACACACACACACACACACACACACACACACACACACACACACACACACACACACACACACACACACACACACCTGTATGTGTGTGTATTTACTTTACTATTTGAGTCTGCAGAATCGAGCTATTAGCTCTTGGACCCCGCCTTTCTAAGCAATTTATTTTTCCTCTATTATATCTACTTCATATATTTTCACACACACACATCACCAGGAAGTAGCCCGTAGCAGCTGTCTAACTCCCAGGTACCTATTCACTGCTAGGTGAACAACAGGGGGCATCAGGATGAAAGAAACTCTGCCCATTTGTTGCCGCCTCGGCCGGGAATCGAACCCGGGCCATTAGGACTACGACGTCCAAGTGCTATTCTAGGAGAGAGCGAGAGAGAGAGAGAGAGAGAGAGAGAGAGAGAGAGAGAGAGAGAGAGAGAGAGAGAGAGAGAGAGGGAGGGAGAGGGAGAGAGGGAGGAGCAGATCCACTCTGAGGTTAACCCCAAAGCAGTTGTGAGTCATGAAGTGTGTGAGAGAGAGAGAGATGAGGAGCACGCGAGTGAGTGAGGGAGAGGTAGGGAGGGAGGGAGAGAGTGAGGGAGAGAGGGAGGGAGGGAGTGGTAGGTCTGTAGTTATAGCCTGCTAAGACGCACGGTGGGAAGGGAGGGCAGGGAAGGGGGTCGTAGGAAGATGGTGAGAGTGTGAGTGTGTGAGTGTGTGTGTTTGTGTGTGTGTGTGTGTGTGTGTGTGTGTGTGTGTGTGTGTGTGTGTGTGTGTGTGTGTGTGTGTGTGTGTGTGTGTGTGTGTGTGTGTGTGTGTGTGTGTGTGTGTGTGTGTGTGTGTGTGTGTGTGGTGTGTGGTGTGTGTGTGTGTGTGTGTGTGTGTGTGTGAGGGAGTAGCACCATCCTCCACCACCACCACCAGTCAGTGTGTTGATGGATCTCGTGGCGGGTGGCCGCAATAATCTCGCGCTCTATATTCCTCAGTGAAAACCCCTCCACCCACCTGTCTCCCATCCCCTGCCTCACCCTCCCTCGTGAACCTATCGCTACACCTCATATTCTCCTCCAATTACCATGGCCGCTACGCCTAAACCCCATAAAAAAGGATTTTCAACTTAATGCGACTATAGGCTGCCAAGGTAATAATAATATATATCAATACTTCATGCAAAAACTTCCTTAATGTATATTTGTTACTATGTTTTGCCAAACAAGATTGTTACGGATAATGCGGTCGTGCTTATTTACTGTGGAATGATAAGGTTTATATATATATATATTTATTTTTTACTAAATTTGGCGCTAAAGTTTCGAATGTTTACGGGAAGTGCGGCCAAGGCAGCCTGCGTCCTGATCCACGCCCCTGACGCGGTCTTCGGCTTCCTTCGTCTCTTTCTTTAATTTTTCTTTTATTATATAAGCTACCTCTACCTACTTTTCTCACTTGTTTTGTTCTTCTCGTTTCCCGTCTTTTTTTTTACGCCACATCCTTTTTTCTCCTCTATCATTTTTTTTATTCCATTCTTCATATTGATAGTGGTCATCTTCACTCTCACCTTCAGTCTTTTCTATTCTTTACACACATTTGTAGCTGGTCAGATTTAGTTATTGCTATAGGGGAAGCCGGCGGTGCCCGGGTCTCTCTCTCTCTCTCTCTTTCTCTCTCTCTCTCTTCCTTCGCTCCCTCCTGTTCTCTCAATCCTTCCCTCTCTCTTTATTTTCCCTCCTTCACTCTTCCTCCATCCCATTCTCTCTTAGAACTCGCCCAACATAACCACATTGTCGTGTATGATGAATGGGGGAAAAATGTGCTGAACAACTCTATGGAAACGGAACCCCCATTTACGACATCATGAGAGTTAAAGTCTCGCAATAGGAGCCAATCCTCCTTAAAGAGGGACATGGGGTCGACCCCCGACCTTCCTGTAATACTCTCCATACGTTACCTTGAAGTGTTTTCGGGGCTTAGCGTCCCCGCGGCCCGGTCGTCGACCAGGCCTCCTGGTTGCTGGACTGGTCAACCAGGCTGTTGAACGCGGCTGCTCGCAGCCTGACGTATGAGTCACAGCCTGGTTGATCACGTATCCTTTGGGACATACAGTCACTAATTTACAATGGGAATGTGGATGGACATTCTCATATTAGATATAGATTTTCTTTTGTTTAGTTTAGTATATTTATGCATCCTGTGGGCGGCAGTGGACCCCCCAAGCCCATCCTGTGGGTGGTAGTGGACCCCATACCCATCCTGTGGGTGGTAGTGGACCCCCATATCCATCCTGTGGGTGGTAGTGGACCCCATACCCATCCTGTGGGTGGTAGTGGACCCCATACCCATCCTGTGGGTGGTAGTGGACCCCCATATCCATCCTGTAGGTGGTAGTGGACCCCATACCCATCCTGTGGGTGGTAGTGGACCCCATACCCATCCTGTGGGTGGTAGTGGACCCCATACCCATCCTGTGGGCGTAGTTACATAGGTAGTTACCTATGAGGTACTTACATAGCGTTAACGTATAGGTCAACAGGCAATTCACACCTTATTAAATTAACATTACCGTGGTCCAAAGATGGCTAACACAGCCAGTGCAATTTTCTGTTTAATTCGAGTTTAATGAGTGACTTACCCATCCGTTGGGTGAGTGGCAGACAGGTGTGAGTGTCACATGATGGGTCCAAGTGCTGGGTCCCACTGAACATTACGCTGAGGTGTTTACATCTGGGAGAGCCAGTAAGGTATAATGTTAATGTGCATATCATGCACCTGGGCCCTCTTGCCTGTTGTGGGCGGCGGGAAAGTGTACCATCGCCTACAACCGCTGCCCACAGCCCACCTGGGATACCTGGCTCAGATGTCTGCTACCTGCCTGTTGTTTACCTGTTACTGGTTCCGGGGAACAATGTTCCTGCTGCCCGGTCTCTGATCAGGCCTCCTGGTTGGTGGTCTGGTCAACCAGGCTGTTGGACGCGGCTGCTCGCAGTCTGACGTATGAGTCACAGTCTGGTTGATCAGGTATCCTTTGGAGGTGCTTATCCAGTTCTCTCTTGAACACTGTGAGGGGTCGGCCAGTTATGCCCCTTATGTGTAGTGGAAGCGTGTTGAACAGTCTCGGGCCTCTGATGTTGATAGTTCTCTATTGAACACTGTGAGGGGTCGGCCAGTTATATCCCTTATGTGTAGTGGAAGCGTGTTGAACAGTCTCGGGCCTCTGATGTTGATAGTTCTCTCTTGAACACTGTGAGGGGTCGGCCAGTTATGTCCCTTATGTGTAGTGGAAGCGTGTTGAACAGTCTCGGGCCTCTGATGTTGATAGTTCTCTCTTGAACACTGTGAGGGGTCGGCCAGTTCCAGGGGTGGCCAGTTCCACTACACATAAGGGACATAACTGGCCAGTTATGTCCCTTATGTGTAGTGGAAGCGCGTTGAACAGTCTCGGGCCTCTGATGTTGATAGTTCTCTCTTGAACACTGTAAGGGGTCGGCCAGTTATGTCCCTTATGTGTAGTGGAAGCGTGTTGAACAGTCTCGGGCCTCTGATGTTGATAGTTCTCTCTTGAACACTGTGAGGGGTCGGCCAGTTATGTCCCTTATGTGTAGCGGAAGCGTGTTGAACAGTCTCGGGCCTCTGATGTTGATAGTTCTCTCTTGAACACTGTGAGGGGTCGGCCAGTTATGTCCCTTATGTGTAGTGGAAGCGTGTTGAACAGTCTCGGGCCTCTGATGTTGATAGTTCTATCTTGAACACTGTGAGGGGTCGGCCAGTTATGTCCCTTATGTGTAGTGGAAGCGTGTTGAACAGTCTCGGGCCTCTGATGTTGATAGTTCTCTCTTGAACACTGTGAGGGGTCGGCCAGTTATGTCCCTTATGTGTAGTGGAAGCGTGTGAACAGTCTCGGGCCTCTGATGTTGATAGTTCTCTCTTGAACACTGTGAGGGGTCGGCCAGTAATGCCCCTTATGTGTAGTGGAAGCGTGTTGAACAGTCTCGGGCCTCTGATGTTGATAGTTCTCTCTTGCACACTGTGAGGGGTCGGCCAGTTATGTCCCTTATGTGTAGTGGAAGCGTGTTGAACAGTCTCGGGCCTCTGATGTTCATAGGTCTATCAACATCAGAGGCCCGAGACTGTTCAACACGCTTCCACTACACATAAGGGACATAACTGGTCGACCCCCTCACAGTGTTCAAGAGAGAACTGGATAAACACCTCCAAAGGATACCTGATCAACCAGACTGTGACTCATACGTCAGACTGCGGTCAGCCGCGTCCAACAGCCTGGTTGACACTGTCCCCGCGGGGGCCAGGAGAGACATAACAACATAAGAACATAAGAACAAAGGTAACTGCAGAAGGCCTATTGGTTCATACGAGGCAGCTCCTATCTATAACCACCCAATCCCACTCATATACTTGTTCAACCCGCGCTTGAAACAATCGAGGGACCCCACCTCCAGCACGTTACGCGGCAATTGGTTGACAGTGTGGTCGGCCAGACTATAAGATTCCGCTGCACGCAGGCTGTCATGAACAACCATCAGAGGTGTTCAGAAGTTCACTACTTCCTTCTGGTGTACAACAGTTCTGTACACAAGTGGAAGAACTGGCTTTTGTTGTAGTGTAGAACAAAAGTCGTGGCGTGTACTATGGAGATGTGTCTCATTGTCTAGTGCTGCACATGCTTCAACAACACAAGGTTATAATGCCACCTTCCAGCTTGAATCAATGTATAAAACAAAGCACAGATTTATGATAGGCTTTGTAGGCGTTCTGTCAGTTATGGGATCTGTTAGTAATGTGTTATTGTAGAGATGTGGTGTTGAGAACACGTGTAGCCTGGTATACACTAGTCACGGGGAGTGCCGGGACCCAGGAGCTGGAGAGAGAGAGAGAGAGAGAGAGAGAGAGAGAGAGAGAGAGAGAGAGAGAGAGAGAGAGAGAGAGAGAGAGAGAGAGAGAGAGAGAGAGAGAGAGAGAGAGAGAGAGAGAGAGAGAGAGAGAGAGAGAGAGCGAGCGAGCGCAAAAACAGCTTTATATCCCTGACTTCCTTCAGGTTGGGGAGGCGAGTGGGTTTAGCCTAAGGGGGAAGGGGGGTGGGGAGTGGGTGGGATTAAGGAGGGAGGGGGGGGGCACGGTGATGGGGGGGGGGGGGGGATAATAGCAACAACCGCCAATTCGCCTCCCAGATGCCAACTACCGTATCTTAGTCCCGGTGTGAGGCCGGGGAGTACCTCATCCTCCACCACCACCACCACCACCACCACCACCACCACCACCACCAACACCACAACACCACCACCACCACCACCACACACACTACCACCACCACCACCACCACCCACCACCACCACCACCACCCACAACACCACCACCACCACCCACCACCACCACCACCACACCACCACCACCACCACCACAACACCACCACCACCCACCACAACACCACCACCACCCACCACACCACCACCACCCACCACACCACCACCACCCACCACACCACACCACCACCCACCACCCACCACCACCCACCACACCACACCACCACACCACCCACACAACACCACCACCACCCACCACAACACCACCACCACCCCACCACCACACCACCACCACCACACCACCACCACCACCCACAACACCACCACCACCCACCACAACACCACCACCACCACCCACAACACCACCACCACCCACCACAACACCACCACCACCCCCCACAACACCACCACCACCCATCACAACACCACCACCACCCACCACCAACACCACCACCACCCACCAACACCACCACCACCCACCACAACCACACCACCACCACCCACCACACACCACCACCACCACCACCACAACACCACCACCACCCACCACACCACCACCACCACCCCACCCACCACCACCACCACCCACCACACCACCACCCACACCACCGCCACCACCCACAACACCACCCACCACCACCACCACCACCCACCACAACACCACCACCCACCCACCACACCACCCCACCACACCACCACCACCACCCACCACCACCACCACCACACCACACCACCCACCCACCACCACCCACCCACCACCACCACCCACCACACCACCACCACCACACACCACCACCCACCACACCACCACCACCACCACCACCAC